TAAAGGGATGGTTGAAGATTTCTAAATTGAGATGTAAGATTAGTTGGTCAAAGCAGCAAAACTAGACCTTTGTCATATTAAAACAATTTAAAATTTTGCAACTCTAGTTAAAAATTCATACAATTTAGGTATTATGACTGCTGGTAACTGGACTGGGATTTTTTTTTTGTTGAATAATGAAAAGTAGATTACTGTCTCTGGGTATTCATTAAGTATGAAATAAATGAAACAATAAATATAAGTTTCCTTTTCCTGGGATGTTAAAGCCAAGAAGTCTAAGGGGGATAAGACAAAGCTGATTGTATTGTCTTAAAACTAGTCCAAGCTCAAAAGCATCACCGCAAGAATTCAAACGTGTTTTTTCTGCATAAATGCATCAACGTATTTGCATTTCGTTGCTATTTCTACACAAATGCTGATAATTATTTATTTAGGAAATTAAAGCTGTACAGTGCCTTGTGAAAGTATTTGGCCCTCTGTTTGACCGTTTGCCTCATTTCAGGCTTCAGACACAGAGATATAAAATTGTAGTTATTTGTGAAGAATCAACAAGTGGGACATGATCATGAAGTTGAACGAAATTTAATGGATATCTAAACTTTTCTTAAGAAATAAAAAACTGAAGAGTGGGGCGTGCAAAATTAATCATCCCCTTTACTTTCAGCGCAGCAATGTTCATGAAGGATTTCTGAATGATGCAATCCTGAGCTAAATGATGATCAATAGAATCCACCTGTGTGTAATCAAGGCTCTGTATAAATGCACCTGCTCTTTGATCGTCTCAGAGGTCTGTTTAAAGCGCAGAGAGCATCATGAAGAACAAGGAGTACACCAGGCAGGTCAGGGATACTGTTGAGGAGAAGTTTCAAGCTGGATTTTGATACAAGAAGATTTCCCAAGCTTTAAACATCACAAGGAGCACTATGCAAGCAATAATATTGAAATAAAAGCAGCATCAGACCACTGCAAATCTATGAGGATCCGGCTGTCCCTCTAAACCAGGCATCCCCAAACTCGGTCATCGAAGGGACGCTGTCCTGCAGGTTTTAGAGGTTTCCCTGCTTTAGCACAGCTGACCATCATGGTTGCAGTAGAGCAGAAGCCTGTTAATCAGCTTTCAATTAAAATCAGCTGTGCGGGAGCGACAAAAACCTCTAAAACCTGAGGCCCATGATCACTCTGGATGAACTGCAGAGATCTACAGCTGAGGTGGGAGACTCTGTCCAAAGGGCAACAATTAGTCATATAGTTCATCTTTAAGGAAGAAAGCCATTTCTGAAAGATATTGATAAAAAGTCTTGTAATAAATGTTAGTTTAATCTGGTCAGATAAAACTAAAATGTAACTTTTTTGGCAACAAGGCAAAAAATTATGTTTGGCGTAAAAGCGACACAGCTCATCACCTTGAACACACCATCCCCACTGTCAAACAGGGTGGTGGCAGCATTATAGTTTGGGCCTACTTTTCTTCAGTGGGGACAGGGAAGCTGGTTAAAATGATGGGAAGATGGGTGGATCCAAATACAGGAACATTTTGGAAGGAAACCTGTTGGGCCTGTTAGCAAAAGACCTGAGACTAGAACACTATCTACAGTCGAATTTCAAGTTTCACCAATAAATACATCCAGGTTTTAGAAAGTGGCCAAGTCAAAGTCGAGACCTTAATCCAATCATGAATCTTTGGAAATAACTGAAAACTGCTTTTCACAAACGCTCTCCAATCCACCCCACTGATTTCAAGATGTTTTTTGAAGGAAGAATGGACAAAAAATTCAGTCTCTCAATGTGCAAACCTGACAAGGACATACCCTGAGCTACCTGCAGCTGTAATCCCAGTGAAAGGTGGTGCTACAAAGTATGAATATTAGTGTGAACTTCAACACCTAATATTTCAGTATATTTGTTAAAAAATGTAAAATATCCAATAAATTCTGTTTCACTTCACCAAACGCTGCAACGATTTAAGAGATATAGTTTTATCAATTTATCAAATAGTCAGAGGTCGGTAGTAATTATTTTTTTTCTTTTAATTGTTTTTTTCACTTTTTTATTTAAGCATATTATTAATGAAATAACTTTACTCTTACTTGAGTAGAATGTTATCCGTCATGAATAACTTCACCTTATAATCCTACCTAAGAGCTCCAGACAAAAAACACACAGTTAATGTTTATGTCAAATGGACCTTTTTTTTTTTTTTGCACACAAGCTTACTTAAACCTACAGCTATATTTGGTGGTGAGACTAATACATGGAGTAAATATTGTCTCTACAGGTATTGGTATCATATATATATATATTTTTTTTTAAATGCATGATTTGTTTGTATTTTTTTTATATATTTAAGATGCCAGAATTTGCACATTATTTTCCATTTTGGTCTGTCTTTATTACATCATTTTAAATGTCAGATGTTCTAAAGAATTGCTTAGTAATTGAGTAGCCTTTTTACCAAAAACGTATTCCACTTTTACTTCAACAAAAATATGACGGAGTAGTTTAACTCTTATTTGAGTGCAATTTTAGGATATCCACCCACCTCTGCTCAGTGTAGGATGTATTAAGAGTGGGGAAAATCCAGAACCTTAAACATAATCCAGGGTCATAGCTTGTCATTTATTTATTATTTTTGACTAAGGATAAACATCTTGCCTCTGAATCCACGGTGCTCCATCTTACATGAAGCTGTGAGGGAACCTGAGAATGTCAACCAGAATGACATTTATCTCCAATACCACCCTCCCCCTTCCTTTTCTTTTTATTCATGCTCATCCACGTTCAGGTAAAAGCTGGATCTGCTCTCAGGATGCAGAAATGCCACAAGGCCGGTTATTTATAGTCTCATGACGCATGATGTGTCTCATGTGTGCTCTGCAGGACCCTCGGCTGGAGACGCCGCTTCCTGGCTCTCCGACAACCATGGATGCTGTTGCCACAGAAACGGCACGGTGTTGACATCACAGGGCTTGAAGCAATCTGTTGCGGAGACCAAAAAGCCAAAGCCTGATCACAACCTGACCCTCAGGTCTGTGAAAAGCTGTTAACCTCCAGCTGTGAGTTTGTGGATCCAAGCTGAAAAATGCTGGATACCAGGAAAAAAAAAAAGACACATATGTGTTCAGACTCATGTGTTTTGGAGAGAAGCTCATGACGTGCACTGAAGCACGTGCATCCATCTGCCTGTTTAACGGCTGCATCACTGAAACCGCGTCGGATGAACTTTGCTCTGTTGTTAACATTTTACAGGGGAATAAACATGCTGCATGGACATGTATGATGAGTTGGGGGGAGTTTTTTTTTTTTTTAATTATGACCTTTCTTAAAAAAGGGAAATTCCTCACCTGTATTGTTAGCTGTAATAAACAGAAACAATCTGGAGGCCCGTCTCATTACTGAGGGAGTAACGTCTGCTATTGTGACTAATGTCTATGAATGTGTCAGGTCCATCATTATGAGACAGTTGGGGTATTTAAGCACATAATAGACTCCATTTAGGAAAGGATGAGCTATAAAATTCAAAGGCAGGTCCGACCACAGTCCAGTCATGTAAGACAGGGATTTCGGACACTGTAGAAAAGTCTATGCAGTCCGTCTCAAACAGGCATACCGGTATATTTACAGTTCTTGGCAGAAAATTCCAGCAAATGTTCTGTTTTTACCTGAGGAGTTTCTTTATAGAGGGATCAAAACCAACAATAAAAACCAATCTGCCTCACAGATAAAGAGGCAAGAGGGGGACACGGGTTATCTGATCACAAGCAACGCTGAGACAATTCATTTAGTAACTGTTTGTGTTCTAGATGGTTTATATTTTCCACCTTATGAATAAAAAGTAAGCTTTCAAGCTTAAATTATCACAGGTCTTTGGTTTTCTCTAGGCTTTACTAACAAATCCTACTTTCATAGTAAATACTCTTCAGCATGTCAGCATCTAGAGTAAATGAGACCGATTCTGACATATCTGGAGGAGTCGGTTTTAAACTTCAGGAGGAGCATACCGGAAATCTGGTTCCATCAACTATGTCCAATACAGCCAGTGGCATGAATCAGATCCTGGAATGTCTAAAGTTTACTTGGGGTACATCATATTCTAATACTTTCAAACTGGAGCTTCAAGTCTTACTCTGATAATTTACTGCCCTCATATCTGTCTTCCAATTGCCTAATAAAGGCCCTTAGTGTCACAAAAATCTGTAAAAACAGGAAGATAAAGTGAACATAGACACAAAATTATTCAAGTCTGCCAAAAGTACATAAAAACATAGACAACATAAGATGTTTTAAGGAATAACTTAAACTGCAACAAAAACTACAAATAGGACTAAAGGTTCTCCATGCATACTCTGTTTGCCTCATTCCTGGCATGTGAAAGCTAATTGGGCCAGCATTGAAAATCCTGCATCTCTATAAATAACTTTAAATACTTCATGAACATTTAAACCTTTGTTACATTCATTTTTAGCAAATATATCTACAGAGGCTGATGATTAAATAGCTTGATATAAAGTAAGGTGGGAGAAAAGGGCTAATTATAGTTATGTGACTTTCTGGAATTTTTTGTCACACTAACTTGTTATATATGAGGTAGCTATGCAACTGAATTTTTTTTTTAATGAGCTTTAAAATAAGTTTTGTAAATTGCCAGATATAGAAATGTTATGCATTATCTATACTGAGTGGATAGGTGCCCCTAAATTAAACAATGCCCGGGGCCTTAAATAATTTTCGGTCGCCTCTGCTTTGTGCAGCTGGAGTCTTTTCCCATTTTTCTTTTTTTTTCAGACTCAGGATGATCAGAGGGAAAGCTGTGCCAGCATGCAGCTGCAGATAAGGAGGAGGAGCAGAAAAGTGTCACTGTGCGTCACGGGAAGGGTGTTCCCTGCATGCAGGACGTCCATAATTAATGACCAAACACAGCAACCAATCACTGCAGCTCATGCTAATCAGGAGGCTCACTAAGCCTCCTGAAGCTTCCTTATGAATCGGCGCTTTGCGCACTGACCGGATTTCAGCGGCTCACAGGCTGGAGGAAGCTGCTGCTCTCCGTTATTCTTCAACTTTATTCTTCTACCTCCTCTAGTTTCTAAGCAGACCAGCGGCTTCCTCTGAAAGAAACACGGATTTTGCTGTCTGGAAAAAAGAAAATCCCCGTTTCTCACTTTGCTATATATATATTTTTACCCATTTTTTTCTAAGTCTTGGGGGATAGGTTGGAGTGAAATGTCTGGAACTTCGGATCAGACCAGGCGGTTCTGTGTGTTGTCGTGGGATCAGGTGCAGCGTTTGGACTCCATCCTGGGGGAGGCTGTCCCCATCCACGGCCGTGGAAACTTCCCCACTCTGTCCGTGCAACCCCGTCAGATCGTCCAGGTAGTAATCCTACTCTCATTCTTATTTCTCATGGAGCCAGATGTAAGATCTGTCCATAAAGTCTATAAATATCTATTTTAGTCCAATACCACCAGTGGCGGTTCTAGACCAAATGTACCAGGGGGGCCAGGAGGGGGCGAGCGTGTTATCATGGGGACACAGAAAAGCATGAAATAAAAAAAAGGCAAGGGAATCAATAAATTAGGATAGCTGCATGAAGTGAAATTTCTATTCAATTAGGTTTCATTAAAATTCTAAATGTCTTATTAGGTCAATGACTGAATTTTAGTTGAAATTACAGTTTTCTATAAAGTCTGAAGTATAATTTAAGAAAAAAAAAGTTAAATTCAGCTCTTAAAGAGTATTTTTTTTGTTTAGAAAAAAACATTAAGCAGATGAAAACTGGGATCCTCAATACCACTGAAGCCGTATTATCACCTTATTCTTTTAAATGGTTAATAAAAAAGAAGTTGTAAAGAAAAAAAATAGATTCAAAGGACCTATCAGTAACCATGTCTGTTCCAGGGCAGATCATCGTTATAAATTCTTTGAGTATTATGTCATTAGTACAGGTGCCAGGATATGATCTACAGGGGCACCTGGCCCCTGTTAAATTGCCCATGAATAGCACTAATGAAGGCCTGTACACTGAATGCATTAATAGGCTCTAATCCCAAATTGAAATGAATAATTTAGATGCACTTTAGGGGTCCGTAACGACCCCTGGTGGTCTCCTATCATTTTGAGACACCCCAGGATTCAACTCTTCAAATCTTTTTTTTTTTTTTTTTTTACTTTTAGCATCTTAAAACTTTTCTTATATAAACTGATTTTTGAGATAAAGTCTTATAGTTTATATTAATGAACAGTATTTCCCTCTAAAGATGAGTAAATGGAGTAAAACCTTCTGAAAATGTAATAGATTCACTCTCCAGTCAGCATATATTATCTGTAAAAGCTGCTACAGCTACACCGTTATGTGGCCTATGAGATGCAGAGCAGTGTGGCTGGATCATGTTTCACCTCCCCTGATACAAAAGTTTGAGCTGGAAAAGAAACTGCAGAGTTAGAATTTCAAAATGAAGGATAGATGTTGCAGGATACCCCCCCCCCCCCCCCCCCCCCCCCTCAATTTTTCCACCTCTTTTTTTCTTTTTTATACCCTGTGATATTTTCAAGATGAGCCCGAGAACTTTGCGAAGCCCAGGACTCCATGCCTGCGGTTATGGAAAGATGAATGGTCCATTGAAGAACGCCGGGAGGCTTATATGGGGGGGTTTGATTTCCAAGTGTGGGGACTTGTGTGTTTTCACTGGATTTGTGGAATCCCTGTGTAATTTACTTTTATTTTTCTTTCTCAAATCTACCATCTGCTGCATAGATTAATTTAGATAGAGGCTGAATGCTGCTGACTGGCTTTGAGTGTAGTTTTTAAGTCAGGAAGATGTGCTCCTGTGGTTCCTCTAGATCACAGGGAAAGGTGAAAGGGTTTTATTATACTTGCTGGATGGATACTGTGTCCCCCGGAAGAATCCAAGAATCCTGATCCTGATTTTCTCACCTCCCCATTCCAGACTCTTTTCCACACCGTTTCTGCAGAGATGGAATCATCAGACTTTTCCTGCTCAGTACATATTTCCAAATTCTGTTTTACATTTTTCCATCATTTATGCATCATTACATACATTTCTATCATTATCTCGGCGTTAAACTCCAAATTATAATTATTTTTTAGTGTTTCACTTGCTGATAAATGATCCATTTCCAATGTACACAGTCTAGACCAGGACTGTCCAACTCAAGCTGTATTGCCTCTCCATTCTGTGTGAGTGTTATCAAGTTAGGCAGGAGCTTGCACAGGAAGAACTCATTTGATTTGGGTGTATGAAACCATAAAACATACTATACACCTCGGATATTACTATTTGTGATTTATGAAATGATAATTGGTCTCATTAGAGCCTGAATTAATCCTGCATTCATGTTTCAATGTGTAATTGAACCAGAGAGTGAAAAAGTAGCTCAAAAGCAAAAATAATCCCCATTTTATTAGATTCTGTGGTTTGGAAAGGTTTAGTTTCTGATTTTTTTTTTTATCATCCCGTGAAGACCTCTTCTTATAATGATAAAATATTGCAGATTCATGATTAAATCCAACAGAAAATGATGAAATTATAGGATTATTCCCATATATATGCATCAAAGTCCATACGTCAGAGCAGGAAAATGCATACACTGTTTATTGGTGTGTTTTATAGTTGATAAAGTTGTATTTTTTCTTTTTTAACATTTGACTTGCTCACCACCTAGAGCCAATCAAAGGAAAAGATTATCTTCCAATTTGTATAAGTTGGATCTGTGTGTTCTAGTTCTCTTGGAACAAGATTTGCAACCATAATTCACTTTCACTTTTTTCTTTTCTTTTTTCTGCTATAAAGATTGCAGACTAACCTTAGCTCTGGAGTTTTTAGGTCTTTATCCATGAGGTTAATAGCTTTACTTCCACATGCTCTGCCAGGGGCTTAATCACTTATCTGCATCTAAGCATATATGACTGAGAGGTGAGTTGTAGACTGCAGGACTGCTTGGACATGATAAGGCCTTCCATGCTCTTACAGAAGCACTGGAATGAAAAAAAATCAACAAAAAAACACTTTCTCATGGCTTCTTACTGGAGTTTGGACCCAATTCATTCTACCCTATAGCTGAAAGACTAGAAACATGCATGACCAAACTGCTAGTATCTCATTTATTTCTCTCTTCCTTATCCGGTATCAATGTGTGCCCCCTTCTTTAAAATGTGTTTGTCTCCAGCCTGACCTAGTATGTATAAATAGAGCCGTCATGTTATCTGATCACCATGGGAGAGAGAGTTAACAGACGCTAATCTGACAGGCCAGTGCCGTGGGGGATTGAGGATTGCGTGTGAACACGCAGTAGTTAATTTGTGCTACAGGTGTTTATTTCTTCATGTTTTTTCCAGTCATTTTTCGTCAGAATTCTGACACCTCCAGTTAGTGATTCATGTGATATTAGTAGGTATATATATCTAATTTGCTGCCTTTATAGTTTGCACTGTTATTGTAGTTTAAGCTGATGGTCTCAGTGCATTCATACTGCTGTTTTCCAAGCAGTGATGTTTGATTATTGGTTTTATCTGTGCTGAGATGAGCAGTTTGCATCCTGGGGCAGAACTAGAGCTTTCTCTCTTTTTGTAGGTTAGGATCATAAGTGTTATCTGTGTGACCTTGATAAGGCTGTTTGACCCAGGTGGACGTAGTCCTGGAGACTTTCTGTTCCTGCCTTGTCTTTTGCTCCATTTTGGCTTGATTCAGACAGAGGCTGATGTTTGCGAGGTGGACTTTTGTGAGCATTGACTGTGTCTTCACAATTTATTGACTTATTCTAGGTGTTCTGTAAGGTTTACTTAAACAACTCTTTTTGAGCTGTTTTAGTAAAGTTTGCTTAACAACTGTTGGACTTTTTTTTTTTTTATCTTTTTTATTTGACCTAGTATTTACCTTGTTTGGTGATTTCATAGGGATTCACTGAACAGATCCTTGCTGATGAAATTCAACCTGCTAATTTCAATCTCCTTGTTTTGCAAAATCTCATAATTTTAACAAAAAAGGAGAGCAGTTCTGCTACAGGTTCCTTGACGAAGATACAATATATAATTCTTTCAGAAAAGGATTCAGTTAGATAATTTATTTTATTGTACATTAAAGCATCTGTCTCTACAATTTATCAGATTTCTATTAAACAGTCAAAAAATAAATCTGTGTAAAATGTTTATAGTATCTTTGTAGAAAAAAAATCTTAGTTTTAATAGATTTGATAATTAGAGGTGGAATTAAATCTTTTCACTGTTAGACCTGTGAGCTGCATCGATTAAAGGGCAACTGTTTTATTACGGTCTTTATTTAGGTCTTTATAACAGAAGAATTGATACAGTCTGTGAGAGATTTATTTTTAAATTTAATTTTATGATTTTGTTCAGTTTTTTAGTTTTATTGTCCTCCCCTTTCTTCAATTAATTTACTAACATTTATATTACAAGCATACACATTAATTAATTAGTGTTTGTATTTGAAGAAAGTAAAGAGTAGTTTTTGAGTTTGCCAACACTGCCTTCTTTTAAAGGTATAGAGGAGGATTTTTGTGAATTTTTTAGAAGACCTGCCCTCTCCACTTAAAAAAACAAAATGCACATGCACAACCCTGTACCTACTCACGAAAGGGAAGGCCTGTTAAAGGCAAGCAAGAGAATGCACAAGCCCATTTTCCTTGTGTATGCTTTATTTAAAATTTGCTCTTCTCATAGCTCATACAAGCTTACTGTGTCTGAGCGTTTGCCTAACCCCTAAATCCCTCAATCACTATATAGAGCGGGAACTATATAGTGGACTTAATAGTGAACTCAGTTAACTTACCGTTCGGAGAGATGATCACTGATTTTTTTGCTCGGTTGGTCACATAATTCTGGCTCCACCGTGCGGTGCCTGCGCCATCTTTGTTATTAGCAGCCGCTGTCGGGTAGCGACAGCGGGCCGCTGTGTCAGCAAATCCCATAATGCTTTGCGAGGAGAGCTCTCAGCCCAAATCATTCTGGGATATATCTGGCTCTTCTGAGGTCTTTCTTTTCATCTTATGCACTTCGCAGCCACTTTTCCTCTTACAACTGTTTTTAAAAGAAATGCGATGAGAAAGGTGAGCTTCAATGACTGAAAGTGCGCATGCGCAGAAAAATATAACTAACGGGGGACGAGCATGTAGGACGGCCTTACGTAAACGTATCACCATAATGATTGACAATTAGGAGGACCACTTATGATCTTACCGGTAATAAAAGATAATCCTCTATATCTTTTCATATTTAGATAATAAAGGAAATGATTCTGTTGGTGTAATGAGGCTGCAAATAAGTTCCGCTTTTATTTTGATAACTGTGATTGAACACAATTTTTAACACAATTTTTTTATCACCTTATAATAGAGGTTAGGGGTGATTGTATTGTGAAAAAGGTGGTCTTTGTGTTTTTTTTCCAGAGTGAAGGTTCTTGCCTAAACTAACCTGTCAACATTTTATGGAATCTCCAACTAGAAGAGATAAGCATGAAAGGATAAAATTGAAAAGCTTTGTTTTACTCTGTTCAGTCTTCCTGTTATCTGGTGAAAGTTTAGCTCTTTCTTGCTGTCTTGCAGCTTGAAAAAAAAAACACATCTCTGTTTTTTCCTCTGTTTCTACTTTGTATAAAGGAAATAAATAAAAAATGATGCTATATTTGGAACAGGGATTGCTCACTTTATGCACCTGTGTTTTTTTTGGGCAGGTGGTGCGAGCGAGGCTGGAGGAGAGAGGAGTTTGTGTGAAGGACGTGAGGCTGAATGGATCAGCTGCCAGCCACGTGCTCCATCAGGAAAACGGCCTTGGCTACAAGGACCTGGACCTGATCTTCGGTGTGTCACTAAAGGATGACCAGGCCTTCCGTCTGGTAAAAGATGTGGTCCTGGACTGCCTGTTGGATTTCCTGCCGGCCGGGGTCTCTAAGGAACGCATCACAGCGCTCACCCTCAAGGAGGCATATGTGCAGAAACTGGTAAAAGTTTGTAATGACACGGATCGCTGGAGCCTCATCTCGCTGTCCAACAACACGGGCAAGAACGTGGAGCTTAAGTTTGTGGACTCTCTAAGACGGCAGTTTGAATTCAGCGTGGACTCCTTCCAGATTTGTCTAGACTCTTTGCTTTTGTTTGACCGGTGTTCGGAAACCCCCATGTCTGAGAGCTTCCACCCCACCGTGATTGGGGAGAGCGTGTACGGCGACTTCCAGGAAGCTATGGGCCATCTCTGTCAGAGGACCATAGCAACAAGAAGCCCAGAGGAAATCAGGGGCGGTGGCTTGTTGAAGTACTGCCACCTGCTGGTGAGGGGCTTCACGCCGTCCTCTGAAGCGGACATGAAGCAGATGCAGCGCTACATGTGCTCGCGCTTCTTTATTGACTTCCCAGACATAGGCGAGCAGCAAAGGAAGCTGGAGGCTTACCTGCAGAACCACTTCGTCGGCATGGAGCACAAACGCTACGAGTGCCTGATGACGCTGCACCATGTCGTGAACGAGAGTACCGTGTGTCTGATGAGCCACGAGCGGCGTCAAACGCTCAGCCTTATCTCCATGCTGGCACTAAAGGTGCTCGCTGAACAGAACGCCATCCCAACTGTGACGAACGTCACATGCTACTATCAGCCGGCACCTTATGTGCAGGACATCAACTTCAGTAATTATTACATTGCACACGTGCAAACGCCACAGATCACGCACTGCAGTAATTCATATCAGACTTGGCTGCCCTGTAGTTGATCCATTGTGTCTCCATGGTCTCAGTGTCGGAGGATCGAAACCTAGGTTTGCCAAACATGACAATCCTGTAGTCAGAATAAGCTGACGAATGATTTCTCCTCATTTGTTCTTCTTTTTTTTTTTTTTCCAGATGCAAAAACATCTGTAAGATTGCTGGTCATTTCTGAGATGTAGCTGTAATATCCTATTTAAATCTAAAAAGAAACACAACTTTATATGTTTCAGAAATACACATTCTGATGAAATGAACTTATTTTCTTACAATTTTGAAATAAAAGCAATTACTTACTGGACCAAAGATGTTTTTTTTTGTTCTGAAAAGGAAGCAATGCTTTAATTCCTAGTGCCTAAAAAGAACCACAAAATGTTTGAAAAACATTTGTAAAGTGACGACTGTGAATGAAGTGTTTTTTAGATTCTGTCTCTCATTTCAGAAACATAAGCATTTTTTTTGTGAGAATAAAAAAAAGGAAAACTCAGCTTTATATTGTATTGTGGTTATTTTGCCAATTTTAAGCATGTTCTTTCACGACAGGTGACACTTCATTCTGTTGTTTTATGGTTTATTAGTTGTGCAACCTCAGCTTTTTTAGTCAAGTAAAATGTTTGCACTATGCATGGGTCAGTTACCAAAATGAAGGTAAACCAGGGTTATCAAAAATTTCAGTTCTTCAAACATTTTCCATCCTACCATGCTTTGGTTTTAATTATTTACGTGAGATGTATGCAAAAAATGCAAGAATGACTGGGCTTTTTACCTGTTGCTGTTTTTAGTCAAAATAAATTCATCCATTAAAAAAAAAAACCTTAACATGAAAACCATGGATTTTCATAGTGTAGATATTAATGCTACACCATCAATCATTTTATTTATATAGATACTTCAGTATATTTGAAGTGTGATTCTATTAAAAGCAAGTATGTTTCATTTTTTCCTCTGCTAAGAAGGTTATTTTTTCAGTCTACTATCTTAAAGAGTTATGAATGGATTTTAATGAATTTTTTTACCAAAGTTGTACATTGGTCAAAGGAACAAATTTGATAATTTTAGTGATGATCCAGATAATAATCTGGTTGTAGGACATTTTAAAGTATTCTTTAACATTATTTGGCATAACAAGCAGTTTCCCCCCTAAAGCAGAAAGTGGCAACAGTGACTATTGAGCATCGGACTCAAAAAAGTCCAGAAAGTATTCTAATCAGGACAAAATCAAAGGAAAGGTCATGCCTTGCTCAAAGTATCTTTTGATCAAACAAGAAAGCAGAGTGAATGAAGAAGGTGAGAACAGAACAAACATCAGAGGCTGCAGATGTACACCTGATGCTAAGGAGGAATTCATAAAAATTTGGTTATCCAGATCATGTGTGAGTTTTGATATAGGTATAAATCACAATATGGGGCATCATTTGTGGTTGTTAAACCTGTTGCAGATGAAGCATGAAATCTTAAAAAATAATTACTTAAGCAGGTCTGTAATTTAAAAACTATTTGTAAATGTAAAAACAGTGGACCTCAACTTTATTACTTTTGGGCAGTTGAAGAGCCACATGCATCTGTTAAAGAACCTTGGATTAGATGAGCACTATGCTATTTTTTTTTTTTTAGTATGGCTTGAATTCCCTCTTAAGATAACTAGCTTGACAAGTGGTAGTTTATCTTCCCCTTTTCAGTCCATGGGTCCATCTGAATTCATCAAATCTGTAAGGACTCTTAAAAAGCAGATCCAGGTTAGAGCCTCACTTTTGGCAGTGTTTAGATAAATATATGAGGAGCCGGTTTTTGAATCAAAGTGCACTTATATATGAACTATTTAAGCTTTGTTGTTTGTTATGAGAGAACATTTTACTTCCATATCTAAAAGGGGCCCCGGATGTGACATAACGTCGGGGAGCCCAGTTGGTTTTACTGCAGTAAACAATACTAATGCAAATTCAGAAAACGAAGAGACTTTAAATGCCTACAGCTACACATATGATAAACCACAACCCTTTAATTATGAGCCTGTTGGACACCAGAGAGAGACTGCGGGGAATTAATGGCCAAAGGAGACAGATTGAGTTGTGCTGTGAGAGAAATCAGTGGAGAGTTGGGCAAGAGTCATGGTGAGAGACCATTTTGTGTGCAAGCATCACTATACAGTATCATGCTGAACTGTGATCCACTGCAGTTAATAAAGCAATTATTGACTGCAGTGGATCATAATGATTTTATTTATTTCTGTATTTGAAAAGTCATAGTGTCACAGCTTGTCCTCAGAAGTAATTTCACTACTATAGTTTATTCCAGCCGTGTTCTGCTATTTTTCTGAGCCACAGACGTCATTCTAAGAGAGTTTGAGTGGTGATCTGTGTTTGGAACTTGAAAACAGATCACCGTGCAAAATCTAGGGTAAGAGGCAGTGGGAAACACCAGCTGCCAGTGAGGCAATGTCTGCTGCTTTTTGTGCTTACTACACAGCCAAAGAGAATATATCTGACTTTATTCGCTTTATTTAAAGTTTCTCCAGCTTTCATATTGATCCCAACCACAGTTCCCAATCAGCCATCCATTAGCTAGTGCATGTAGTTAGATGAGGACTGGAACACTGGTAGTATCTCAATTTTAATTAATTTCAGCATCATTCAGCATCAGTCGGGAGGTGAAGGATCTAAGTAAACACGTCTGCCCAACTTGATAACTCTTCACACGGAGCTGAAGCCGTGTCAACTATTAGATTCACCCACGTGGCATCAAATGACATGACTTATATTTAAAAAAAGTCTTTTTTTTTGAGACACTGCAAAGAAATGTCACTCTGTTGGTAAATATTCTTCGTTATGGCAGCCAAAACACTTTTAATCCTAGACAAACTTTCTAAATATCCCTTTGGTCAAAATTGTAAACTGAAATTTGCTCTTTAAGGTGATGGGATGTTGTACTTCATATGGGGCCCACCCAGATAATGTTGCTTACGGGCCTATTGTTGTGTCATTACGCCATTGGCCATAAGTGCAGGAAGCTGGATGCTTCTCATCAGAATCAGAATCAAGTTTATTGCCAAGTAGCTTTGCACTTACAATGAATTTGACTTGGTTTTCATGTTGCAGACAAAAAAAAAAAAAAAGATATATACATATATATATACACAATACAATCCATACATCAAACATACAATATACTATATCCAATGAAAATGTGGTGCATAGCTATATACTACACACACAGTAGACTGTGTGTTCATAAAATGCAGGAGGTCTGGATATGCTATGTTGGTGCAGCTTCTAGGTCCTGAACGAGGGAGGGAGAGAGGCAGTGTCAATGTCACGGGGGTCTCTAGGTATTGTTGATAAGGCTGGTAGCGAATGGGAAGAAACTGTTCTTGTGGTGTGAGGTTTTAGTCCTGATGGACTGCAGCCTCCTGCCAGAGGGAAGTGATGAAATCGTTTGGGGCTGGGGTAAAAGTTCTTTAGGATAGGGACCTCCTCTTGGCCATGCTTTGGTGGAGAAGTGGTTAGCGCACACGGCTTAGAATCTGGCCTTTGGTCCTTTGCCGCATCTCTCTCCCCCTCTCTCATACCCCCTTTCCTGTCAACCTCCTGTCCATAAAAAAATGAGCGACTAGAGCCGTAAAAACTCAAGGGAAAAAGAAAAAGGATAGGGACCTCCCCAAGTTCATACTGGTGCTTATAGAGAGTCCCACAATCCTTTGCGGGACAACACATAATAGGCAGAGCTCACGTCATGGAGTTTAGCAAACATACCTTATTTCTCTTTACTCTGTGTGACACCTTCTTCTGTACTGTACACACCTTTATATGCTTTTGGGTGTTTTTAGAGAACTTCAGCCATTCTCTTCATTTGTGAAACAGCTTTTTTTGATAAAGTTTTACTTCTTTTGAAAGTTTTAGGCCCTGTTTGTTAGCAGATATTGGTGTTATTGTCTTTTAACGACATCTGTAAGACTGAAGGCTGTCTGGATTCAGCAGAGCAGTCTGGAGCTCCTTTCTTTCCCACGGTAGTGTTCTTACTGATGACCCCCTCAAAGATGAAGGAAGAGGAGCTAGAAACAGGAGTTAGGAATTACACTTTGCTGTATTTGGATTGAGGGAATGTATCATATTGGAAGATCATTGGAGTTCCCGCCTGCATTTCCTGTATAAATAGGCATCAACTTCTGCATAAGCAACCATTCAGTGCAAAGGTAACAACAGTTTAATGGCTTGTAAAACAGCCTTTTCTAAGAACCAATGCAGTGTTTTTGTCTATAATGATTTGAGCTGTAAAAGATGGTATAAACCTTTTCTGTCCTGCTTTTGTTGTTAGTTTGATCCTTCAGGTCTAGCTAACCTTAGATGCCAAGATTGTGATTTACTTAATAAACTTTTTACAGAACCTTACATCAGAACTTTATCTTTGAGTTTATGCAATTTTAAATGTAAAGATGGAAAATAAATGTGACATCCTTGCTTGCAATCAAAAAAGCTAAAGTCATTTTCTTATTCTTGGATTACTCTACAAACCTTAGAACAAGGAAAGTAGTGATTTGCACAAATTATATTTTTCTTCCCTATATTTTTTCTTCGTCCAAAAATCTTGCCAGAGTAATATAAAAAATATTAAGGTGAAATCTAAAAAACCTTTATTAATAACTATATGTTTTAAAGATGTATTCTCTAGCATGGTAAAAATTTTAATAGAATATTTGCTTACATGTCAAGAAGTCACAGCAATTTTACTCAAGGATATTATACTGTGAGAATCTAGTACTTATCTTTATCTAATTGACCTTGCTAAATGCCCTGTTATCATTAAATGTGAGGATTCTTAGCTTTAAAGCAAAGACATAGATTCACTCCAACTTGCTTGTCCTTGCGGGCATGATTATGGACTTTTGTTTGTCCCAATGACAACAGGCCAGTTCCTTTCCAGTAACCCGGGCCACTGAAAAACATCAACTGATATGTGGAGTGAGTTGCGTTTGTTAAACAGGAGCTGAGGATCCATTTCAATCTGAGGACATGAACCATAAGGAGGCTTTTCTAAAGCACAATGGCTTCTCTCTCCTCTGTGATAGCAAACCTTTTTAACAAAGGCTGGCTTGTTCTCAATCCATGTTACCGCTGGTAACCCAGCCCTGTTTGCCTGAGTGAGGCTACCTATATCCCTGTCATATTCTGAAGGTCTAACATACTTTATTTTTAAGAATAAGCCATGAGTGACAGCACACTGGTTCAGTTGAAATTGTTGCACAGATGTGTTGCTCATAATTTTACCAATAAGTACATCTGCTCTGAAATTTGAGATAAAAAAATAAATACAGTCAATTTTTCCATATATCCACACACACACAAGCATACACACACACATTCAGCCCTGGATCATGCTGAACTCTCTGTACTCATGTTGAAAAGCAGAATTGAAAATGTGGTGTTATTGAAGGCTATATATATGCACAGCACGATCCCCAAGTAAATCTGTTAAATACAGGGTATTGGTCCT